ACACCAGACTAACACGGCTACATTTCTATTACTTAACAATCTGTGAGTAATTGTTCATATGCACATGCCATTAGAAGTGCATCCCACACTGACAAATTCAGTCTTTTTGCCAGCAATGTCTGTCACAGCTACATGTGTACCTTGAGTTTACTTGTACCCCATATAAGGACATAAAAGAGTAGAGCAAACTAACATTCAGTTCCTCTCTCTGTTTCCTGGCTTTAAGATGGACCTGCTTACTGTTCACGGAACTGCTGGCTCTTTCTTCAGTTTCTACAGTACAATTAGTTGTTGCCAACTGACATTTCATTAGTTTTGATTAGAAATGGGTTTAATTTCTTTCTGATATTAGCAGGGCTCAACAAATAATACAATCTACTCGCCCATGGCGAGTATAACTTCCCAGGTGTCTTTACGATCATCTTCTGCTTCAAAATCTGGCAAGTCAACAAGAAATGGGCTGCAAGAGAGATGAGCAGAGATGGGGAGATTCCAGACTAGGTCCCTTACTAAGATCTCCTTGAAGACTTCTGCAAACCACTGAGAGACTTTCTGGCCTAGTATAGTTACTGCTGAAGCTTGACCTCAGCATGGTACCAAAGCTTAAGTATTACACTGGTACTATTTGATGGTCTTCTTCCACCAGAGACTAACCAATCCCCGCCTCCAAACCAGGCAACATTCCACAGAAAAAGACTGATTGCCTCTGCTGCTCATTCCATGCAACTCAGGAGACCTGGATTCTATTCCTGACTTTGCCACTGGCCTGTGAGGTGGGTCACTTTGCCTCTCTCTGTAACCTATAAGGATAATGATACTGACCTCCCTTGTAAAGCTCTTTGAGGTGTATTAATGGGAAGTATTTATTGTTGGAACACAGTGCATAAAGAACCTATCAGCTGATTTAGCCTCAGTTCCTCTTACAAAGACAGGAAAAACAGGTATTTCTGACTTCTCAGAATAACTTCCTAAACCAGGACTCCTCCTATATAAGAGAAAGCTCAACCACTTGAGGGCTGTCTAGAGTTGCACACACCTGGCACTGTAGCACAAACTCAGTCAGCATGTATCAAAATGTGAGGCCCAGAAGCTTGTTTCCCCTTAGGATGCTATTAAACATTTTATAAGCATCCTTTTATCTCATTGGATGCTATGAAGAAAATTCTACAATTTTTTTTTCTTTTAAAAAACTACTCTTCTGCATGATTTTACATGAAGGTATTCTTTACAAGAATCCAGACTCTTGCAGTGAAGGCTACTTAATAAACAGCAAATTACCAAAACAAACAATAACCCAAACCCACTTCTATGTACTGTTACTCCGGCAGTGCCTGGCCAAGGCCCATTTGCAATGCACAGGCACAAAAGGGCAGAGTTAAGGTTGCTCGGGGAGATTGTATTCTGAATGTCCTCCCAGGAAAATACAGGACAATGTAGCACTTTAAAGACTAACAAGATGGTTTATTAGATGATGAGCTTTCGTGGGCCAGACCCACTTCCTCAGATCAAATAGTGGAAGAAAGTAGTCACAACCATATATATGATTTTCTGTGGCTTTACTTTCCGAGCTGCATCGGCTCAGCTGTTGTACAGAGAACACCATTTTGCACTCTGCCGGCCGCGGCCCTGAGCGGGCGCGAGATTACCCCCGGTCCTATGAACAGGGCGAAGTCGGGGCCCAGCTGTCACGGGGAGGGGAGGCCGGGGCCCGGGGAAAAGCGGGGGGGGGGCAGAAGCCGCTGCCCAGGACTAAGCCAGGGCCGCACTGGGAGAGATGCAGCGGGGGGCGGGGTCAGCTTAGCGCCAGCGTGACACATGTGGGCGGGTCGTCACGTGACGGGGGCGTGTACTCCCCGCGGCTCAGTCAAGGCCGAAAGGGGGACCACGGTTACCCCGGCAGCAGCGCGAGCAAGGAACTCCCCTGACGCGAGGAAGGGCGGCCCAGCCCGGCGCAGCCCAGTGACGTCACACCGAGGCGTTGGGAAGGAAGAGGAAGCTAAAGGGCTGCAGAGGGCGACGTGAAACCGCGGGGACGCCTCAGCGCAGGCGCCTCCCTCCCGCCTCGCCCAGGGTCCGCGGCGCATGCGCGTGGTGGCGCCCGTAGCGCGGTCGGGCGCCCCTGTGCGGCCGGCGCT